AAAAATAGGATTGTGTTTATACAATTGGATACATCAGTGGTCGGGAAGAAATAAAGTTTGCCACAGCTTTTAGTCTGGAAATTAAAAATAGAGAATGGCAAGTTGTTAGTTTATTAATGCATTATACAAATGAAACCATGAGAGATCTCCTCACACAAGATCAAGTAACTCATAGCCAAACACAATTTTGATGGAATCAAGATCATAATTAGTTTTTATTTTGAGTAAGAAGACACAACATGTACAACTTTGTTTTGTGTGTGTTTTCTTTTCTGTAGCTTACTTAGATTATACAGCATTAATTAAACTCATCACATAATGGATAATATAATTATCTTTTCTTAGGTTACCCTAAGAATTAGAAATCACAAATATATATATGGGTTGGTTCAGATATAAAAAAGGAACGGTTCTTTGATTTTTAAACTTACTAGGAGCCAAATAAAAATATAATCAAAATTCATACGTTATTTTATACAGTAAGATAATAAAAAATAAATTCTTAATTCTTTTATAAACTTAGTCAAAAGAAGACATCATAAACATGTATTTTCTTTCCCACAGATGACAGATCTACAGTCTTGCTAACTGATGCTGATTTTGGAGAGACATCAAAACAGAAATCATTGACAGTTACTCATACAGTACATTATCAGTCAGTCTCACAAGCCACTGGGCCACTGGTGGATGTTTCTGATGCCAGACCAGGAACAAGTATGGACAACTTTTTCAATGGAATATGTAAAAAATGAAAAAAAAAAAAGCCATGTTATCGTCTTTGTACTATGGTAGAATTCCAGAGCAAAATGCACAAATATCTAGAAGAAAACCAAGTCATTTGAATAACATTTCTATGGCAGGAGGGGGAGAAGTGATTGTGTATTGCACAAAACTTCAAAATTTGTCTAGAATTTGCAGACAAAGTGTTTGGGGATATACTTTAATTCAGAGGAAGATTGAGTATATGTTTACTTAGTCTGAGATATGCTGTTTCCTTTTTCTTTTGCATGCTTTATATGTCAATTATTTTTCTTAAAAATTATGCAAAGACTATTATTTCTCTGGTGCTAATATGGCCAACCTTTGGGTTGTGTGGGGCACCCTAAGAGCGTCTTGCTGAAAATCAGCAGCCTATTGCCAGATCGTATTATTGGTACAATCTGTTTCCAATCTTAATTGAAACGTTTTGAAGCCTCCTAAAGCACTAAAACATACAATAAGCATTGGATACACCCACCGAGTGATAATCACTGCCATATTTGGAGGTTAAATAATACAAATATATTAGTAAGGCACTACCTTGATCCTTCAGAGAGACACTACCTTCATGTGGTTCTGAGGCTTCAATGTTCTGAGAGCTATGCTAGAGATTCAAATGTAATGAAGTAGAAAAGCTGACTCCAATCATAGCAATATTTTTTTTCCCAACCTTGTGATTCTGTAAGATACTGCATCTATTTCTGTGTACTGCATTGTGTTTGAACAACAGTTTATCTTCTTTATAAGATAAAGGAGAGGGGCCAGACAAAGAGTGTCTCTCCCATAAAAAAATACCATGAGACATACATTACAGAAACATATACTGGCTTGATCATCAGCTGGGTCACAGGGATCATGCTAGGCACTGAAGTTTCTGGAATCTGATGAAAAATGAGCTATAGGACCCAGGACTGTTGGTTTAGCAACCAGGACCAGCAGCTGTAGAACTACTGGAAGACAAGGTGTATACTCTTAGCTAATATACAGAGACTGAAAACAGAGAAGTAGTGATCTGCTATTATAGATCAAGTTCAACAAGAAAAGGATCTTTAAATGAATGCACAGTTCTGGAAAGAACAACATCCAGAATCAGAAATAACAGAACGGAGGTTAGGAGATCAACGTTGATTTATAATATGAAATAAAGTATACATAGAAGCAGAACTGGAAAAATTGCAAAGGTCTAGCCAAAGCAAAGAAATCAAAGCCTTGCCAGAAATAACTCAGGCTGTGGAGGCAAACCAGGGAGAGTTGGCAGTAGTGGAAGCCAGTACAGCTATTAAATTGTTTTCATTCCGAAACCAGGCACCCTCTCCTCTGTCTCAGAAAGAACAAAGCCCTCTAACTAATGAAATAGAAGAACTTAAACAAAGAATAACTGAACATCTAGAACAGCACAAAACAACAGAATAAGGTAGCCTGCCTTGAAGGTTGTTCCAAAGAAACAGCTAGCCCAAGCATTAAAATATGCTAGTACTGCAATATCAAGTATAAGCGCCAGCTCACTGCAAGAAACAAACCAACTAATATATAGCACAGCTGCAGTTATAACTGAATACCTGGGATGCAAAATCATAATAGAAATAGAATCACTGCTAACCCCATCCATATATACAGTCACGATATTGCAATGGAGTTTGGACTAGACAAATGTGCCACCCTCACCATCAGATCAGGAAAAATATTGAAAACTGGAAGAATCAAGATCCATATGAAAATAACATCAAAAATCTGGATGAAGACAACCACTACAAATACCTAAGTAAATACATCAAGAGAGTGAAATCCAAACTTGGTGGAGGAAATACCATGTAGGCAATTAACTCTTGGGTAATTCCAGTCATTAGATACATAGCTGGAATGGTAGACTGAACTCAAGTAGAACTAAAAGTCCTGGATAGGAAGATAAGAAAAATAATATGATAAATCATGCCCTTCATCTACATAGCGATATTGACAGATTGTACTTACCAAGGAACATAGGTGAGCATGGTACATCAGATGGTTGAAGAAGAAAACAGGCCATTGGACTAATATCTGAAGAACAGTGAAGAAACTGTACTAAAGCTAGTATGCCAGGAAGACCTACTGAGTACTGGAGAAACTAAACTGGCCTACAAGAAAGACCAAATGAAGAACAGAAAGGAGGCATGGGAAGACAATGCATTACATGACCAGTAGATTTAAAAAATAGCAGGGAAAACAGATAATAACAAGACCTGGCAGTGGCAAAGAGCAGGAAAGTTGAAGAAAGAGCAGAGGGGCTAATTCTGGCTGCATAAGGCCAAGCCTTAAAGACAAATCCATACAAATCCAGAATTAAGAAGACAGCAAATGTCACCTCTGTAAAGAAGCTGAAAAAACAGTGGACCACCTAGTTAGCTGCTGCAAGAAGATCACACAGACTGACTTCAAACAACAGCATGACAAAGCAGCAACAATGATTTGCAAGAAGTAACATTTGCCTGCAAGTAAGAACTAGTAGGGCCATAAAATAAAGTCATAGAAAATGAAGAAGCTAAAGTGCTCTGGGAATTTAGAATTCAAACAGACCCCAGATTTAACAATTGTTGATAAGACAAAAAAATCTAAATAGTGAACATGGTAATACCTGGAGAGAGCAGAACAGAAGAGAAAGAACTGGAGAGAATCACAAAAAAAGCAAAAACAGTACTACTAATAATAGGTGCCTTGGGTTTAATCCTCAAAAAACTGGAGCACCATTTGAACACCATTGACATTGACAAATTCACCATTAGTCAACTGCAAAAGCTTTACTTGGAACAGTTTAAATCCTGCGACAATAGCTTTAACACCATGAATCAACATCTGCCTATTCTAGGTTCTTGGGAAGAATTTGATAAGTTGATAAAAAATGCCAAATCCAATTTAAACATGTAGTTGACTATGAGACCAATCCTAATAGCAATAGCACTTAGACTAATATATTGCTTCACAATGCTTTACATCCCTCTCTAAGTGGTTTACAGAATCAGCATGTTGCCCCCAGCAATTTGGGTCCTCATTTTACCAACCTTGGTAGGATGGAAGGCTGAGTCAAACTTGAGCTGGTCAGGATTAAGGGAATTGAACTCCTGTCAGTATGAGCAGAGTTAGCCTGCAATACTGCATTCTAGCCATTGTGCCACCACAGCTAATACTAAAAAACTAATACTAACAGGGAAAGGTGGCATATATTGCTCTCAGTCATGCAGAACTCCTACGGGGCTAAGAGATTTTCTGCCTCTCCAAGCTTCCCTTTATTTTTAAGTATTCATCATTCATATTCAATTTTGGTCTCTTGTAGTTTTCAAAACTCCCCCTTACCCCTTCCCATAACTATGCAAACACTTCCATGCATTTTTTTAATTAATGAACTTTATGAACTGAGTTGTCTGAGTTGTCATTACTCTTCTAAGAAAAGCAAACCCCTCTAATAGCTGGAATTTGTGGTCTTTATTTCTTTCTCTGCCAATACAAGTTGATATGCCAACTCTTATACTAGTTTTAATATTATTCTGGAGAAAAAGGCGTTAAATTTTGACAACATCAAATACATTTAATAATGGTTGGGATATTTTCCAACTACAAAACCCTTTATACAAGTGTAATTCATTCAGTAAGCAGATTTATCCTTCTAAGGTTTTCCATTTGATAAAAATTTAATATCGTTATTAATCACTGGAGCGTTTCCTCACATTTTGGCAATGATTCTGTGAGGTTTACAAAATACAGTGCGCTTTCAGTATGGAAAATCTGCAGCATACCACAAAATAGGATGCTATTTTGTTTTGCTCAGCTATTCATCTACATATTGTATTCACTTAAAAAAGGGACACTGCATTTATTGCTGAATATCTTTATTTTTATGCTGTTTTTGTAGTTTCAAGAAGCAAGCAACATATGGGCAGTTTACTTTTTAAAAAAAATTGCTTGCAAATAAAATGCTGTCAATCTTTGATATGAAGAGATGAATCATAAACAATTCTTACATCTTATAGGTAGCAGCACCTTCTTAGAGATTTTAGAATAAAAATATTTCCTTGCTTCTTTAATATTCTATTTTCACCAAATATATACCTTTATAGTATTTTTTTAAGTGTGTAAATGGGAAATATACAGCAGAACTGATTCTAGTTTATTTATTGGGGAAGAGAGGGAGAGCTTCTATAGCTTGGTCTCCATAAACGTACTTGTTGAGGTAACAGCAAGATCTATTTGTTTCTAATTTGTTTCTAATTTACTTTTTTAAAAATAAATGTCCAACGATTACTGTATTTATATCACTGTCATTACTAGCTTTGTAGCTAAGATATTTAAAAGGAAACTGGATAAAGATACACACATCGGTTGAACCTACATATATTGTTGCTAGTAGTTGACATTAGCTGATTCAGTATACATCAGCTTCTCTGTAACTCAGTTTTATTTTAAGACTTAGTCTTAAAATATGATTTTATGATTTTTTTTATAATTATGGTTAATGATTTTTTTCTTTTCCTCTTCTGTTCCTTAAATAAATTAATTAATCAAATATGCAATTATCTTGGTTTTAATTGCAGATCCTACAACCAGAAGGAATGCAAAAGCTGGGCCTACAGCCCGGAACAGATATGCTAGCCAATGGACTCTCAATAGACCCCATCCTACAATATCAGCCCACACTTTAACAACAGATTGGAGGCTGCCAACTCCCAGGGCCACAGGGTCTGTTGATAAAGAAAGCGATAGCTACAGTGTTAGTCCATCGCAAGATACAGGTATCATCTTTAGTTTAGATTTCATCTTCAGGTCAAGAAGGCATTATTATAGATATAGCTGATTATATGCTTGTTTTCATTTAGCATATTTAACATATACGTTAGTCATTTTTTTAAAAAAGCAAGACATGTTATAATCACTTTCTAGGTCGTCTGAGTTTTTAAAAATGCAAATAGAACGAGCTGTTGGGGAAGGGAGTGACAATCTTGAGGATCAACAGATGCAGATGAGATATTTATCCCCAGCTTATCATATATTCAATATTCCCCTCATATATCATAGGGAGGCTAATGTATGGCCCAACAAGAATTTTCCTTCCTTGGTCAGCATCTGCATTGCCAGCACTTTACTTAGTGACTTGATTTGGCAGCTAGTCTATGAAGAGAATCTACTAGATTCTCTAGAGCAGGGGTCCCCAACCCCTGGACCGCAGACTGGCACCAGTCTGTGGCCTGCCAGGAACCAGGCTGTGCAAGCAAGCAAAGCCCCATCCATGCATGGGTGGGATCCATGCAATGCACGAAACCACACACACCCAGTCCAGAGAAACATTGCCCTCCATGGAACCACTCCCTGGTGCCTAAAAGATGCGGGGAGGGGGCGCTGCTCTAGAGGCTTTGCTGAAATAGATGCGACTGATTGGTGTACTTTAGCCCAAGAATATGCTCTTAACTACTGTATAAAATTCAATTTAGGAGCTGATTCACTAAACTGGAGAGTATTCACATACTGATGCTATTTCTATGTTGCCCATTCCTGAAAACTCTTTGTCTGACTTATTTAGAGTCCCCCTCCATAAATTGCTTTAGGACATGCCTCAAATAGCAGTTTATATCTAGTGACCACTTGATTAACATGAAAAATCAAATGGTTAAATCAAACAATTAAAATACATTGTTTTAATTATTAACCTAATTAGACAAACTTAATGGTTAAATTTTGCAGAATATTTTGTAGCTCCTATCTTACAAAAGCATAAAGCCAGATATATAGGTAAAAGAGATTAGTATGTTTTGTTTGCTTGCTTGCTTGCTTTGGAGATTCTTTGAGAACTGCTGATAACTTTTACCACTTGGTTTTGAATAAAATATTTCAATTTTGATCTTACTTGCTATTTCAAAGCCCTGAAACAGAAGAGATTTAATATATTGCACATTTTGTCATCTACCTAATCGTTCAAATCAATCTTATTTTGTTTGAAACTTGACTGAATCCAAAGTTCAGATGCACAGCTGGAAGAAAACTATTTGAGTTGACCAAACTCAGTTAAAAACAGTTGTGTGAAATAGATTCATAGCTTTCAAAAAATAATAAAGACGTTTTGAAATAAAATAAGGATGTAAACTTCCATGTCATTTTAGTTTCTCAATGTTAAATATCAATTACTTAAAAATATTATTTAAATGAAATTATGTGAAGACAAATAGGAATAGACAAATATTTTCATATTTTCTGAGAGTTAACAATTATCCCTTCTATCCAATACATTTGAATATCCTAATTTGACATAAAAGAGAAATCATTAAAACAAATTGAGAAAAAATGGAATTAATAGCAATAATTTCATTCTGAAATAATTTTTTTCCTTCCCATTCTGTAATACTAATTCTGCATGATAGAAATAAAGAAACTTATCAGCAAAACCTGATAGCACAGCATGCTATATTGTATGGGCATGCTATAAAGGATATGCAAATTCTCCTGGGAATATACAGTAGAAAGTCATGCTTTTGCTGATTCTTCCCTTGCCTTTTCTTTATTGTTTAGATCGAGCAAGAAGCAGCATGGTCTCCACAGAAAGTGCCTCCTCCACATATGAAGAGCTAGCCAGAGCATATGAACATGCCAAGATGGAAGAACAGCTGCGACATGCAAAGTTTACCATCACAGAATGCTTCATATCAGACACCTCATCAGAGCAGCTTACGGCAGGGACTAATGAATATACAGACAGCCTGACCTCAAGCACCCCATCCGAATCAGGGATTTGCAGATTCACTGCATCTCCTCCCAAACCTCAGGACGGAGGACGCGTGGCAAACATGGCTGTTCCAAAGGCACATCGGCCAGGTAGGTGTCTATGGCTACTATTTTAATTCCATCTGTTTTAATTCTAGGAATGAGGCGAACAAAAGCATGGCCAAAAAGATAAAAAAAAAATCTGGCAGCAAAAATTCAGTGCTGATTTTTATAACTGTCAGTAACAACAACAACAACTTCTTACTGAGTTGTATGGCAGAGCAAAGCATAATGTTCAACTTTTCAGTCTGCTGAATACTAAAGGCTTTTATGTTCTTGCCTTCACAACCATGCCCATGCTGAACTGCTAACCCTTAAGATTCTAACTGGTAAAAAAGTTTACGTGAGAATAAGAATTTATTCATAACCAAACTCAATAATATTTTCCACAACTGAGTACTCTTTTGCCTGCCAGCCCTTTTTATGTGACTTTCACTCCTGAACTCTGAAATTTTCTTTCAAGTACATCTTTCCCCCTTTATTGGTAAGAATACCCCTAATTTTTGAGGCTTTGCTTGGTCATCAGAAGAGAACTCCTCATGATTGTCAAAGGTATTTCAAGGGGGCTTTTGTATTCAAGTTTTTGGAGGAAAAAATTGTTCTGGGTTTCCTTGTTATGTTATTTTAAAGCATTCCTCCTGCCTCAATAAGGAGGCAATTCTTTTTCAGTGGCCACAGGAGGATATTGCAAAGATTCACTGGTGTTGATTTAAATCAGGGGTCTTCAAACTTGGCCCTTTTATGACTTGTGGACTTCATTTCCCTGAATTCCTCAGCCAGCCATGCTGGGTGAGGAATTCTGGGAGTTGAAGTCCACAAGTCATAAAAGGGCCAAGTTTGAAGACCCCTGATTTAAATAAATGTAATGCATTTTTAATCACTATTGCTAGTCTGTATCCAACAAGTCAGAATTATTGGAGGTATAAGGTATTTCTAGCATAAGTTCTAGTTGGCAGAATTATTTTTTTCTGCACGTTGTGATTTAATTCCTAATAGAGCAAGACTGTTTTTTCAGTTATCATTATTCTTAGCAGCCCAAATCAATCCACTGCAGGTTGGAGATCTCCTATTTGATTCTAGATTGCAGTCCACCATGTTGGGCCACTGTTGGTTGGTAGCCTGATGTTTTTCAACTTCTCAGTCTGGGATAATTTGCCCAAAATCATGCAGTCAGTTACCATGCTTAAGGGAGGACTAGAATTTGGATATTGCCTCTCCTATTCTACTAACTTAACCAATATATCTCATTATAGCTATCATTTATGGATACAGTATTTATAAAGTATGCTATTCGGGCAAACAAAAACCTTTAATGCTATTGAATGAATAAAATGTTGCAATGCCACTATGTGAAAAAAAAACTGCATTCAAAAAAGTTTCCTGCAGCATTGAGATTACTTTGTTCTATACTTTTAGTAACTCACACCGAATCTTTGTAGAATTACATAATGTATGTAAAATATGCTTTAAATAATAAATCATAAAGCTGTGCAGTATGTTTCTCTAAAACAATAAAACATATGTTATTACATTATACAATTCCCTTATTCCCCAAATCCACAATACTAACTATCCTGTCAGGTAAAAAATATCTCATGCCTTATTTTCATTACTACACATGAAGGGGAACCAGCGAAGATAGGAGCATAATTTTCACCAGCAAGCTCATATTTTTTGTGAGATTTGCTTCCATTTTTATATATTTGATAACACTGGACAAGAGGCCACCTTCCAAAATACTTATCTTTCTTTTATGGATATAGATATTTGGTATTAATCATACTAACTGGTTATTTTAAAGAAAAAAATTGAAGAAAATTGGAAATATTTTCTAAGCATATTTTATATACAAAAAGCAAACGAATCCATCACTTTCATTAATTTGGATTAATAATTCAAATTTTAAATCCAACCAACTCATTGAAGGCTGGCCAAGAATGCATTATCTCAAAGAGAGGACAAGATATTATAAGAATTTACATAAAAGTTGCATATGTTCTTGTATATCTGCAATATTCAAAATAATGAGGATAATGATCAAAATATCATACACTTCACTAAGACTATAACCACATAACCCATGCATCTGCCTGCTGTCAGTCTGTTGTCAAGCTGTAAATTTTTGATGGTTGATGGGTTTCTGCTTGTAAGTCATAAAACTGTTTATTTTTAAAAATAAGACTTTAAAGGTTTTATTAAATTCTCTAAAATGAAATTGCTTATTTTTATTATGTGCATTTTTTATGATGAACTATTACTTCTGTCATGTTCTCTGTGAGACCATATGGCTTTTATAGCATACTTGCCATTTTGACAACATTAATAGCAAATTGTTTCCACAACTCAGAAGTTTTGTTTTTTATCTTGTACTTCCTGCGTTGTCCTTTCCTATAACAGATAGAGACAGGCAAAGCTGTCAAATAATCCAGCTAACCTGAAAATGTATGAAACATTTTTCATCATCTCATAATTTTTTGCAACTGGGAAATATTGCCTGAAAATGACAGTTAAATTCAATGACTCTCCTCTCTCATCCACCCACCCACTTGAATTCCTGAACTAAATTCAATTTACGAAAAATAAAATAATTCAAGGGAGCACTATGACACACCTGATCAGTTTAAAAAGCTAGAATTAACGTACAGATAATCCTTGATTTATGACCATTCTTTCAATGACTATTCAAAGTTATGGGGCACTAAATTAAGGGACTTAGAAACGGTCCTTGAAGGTATAGGTGTTCCAGTGCCCCCGTGGTCATGTGATCAAAATGTGGGTGATTGGCAACTGAAGGATACTTCAACTCCCCCAACCTCATAATTTCCCCCATCTCTGCCCTTTTGGGTGTTCTGTACTCCACCATATATCCTTGCAATCTTCCTCTGCCGATTCTCTTCCAACATGCAGAGCACACAGGATTATCTGGAGAACTGGTCTATGGGGCTTCATTGAGGGGTGGAAGCAAGCCCAGTGCTGGCAGAGCCTACCCACAGGCCCTCCGCTCATTCTCATCCCAGACTTTCTCTCACAAAACCTCATTAGCTTCCAACCAAAGGAGCAGAGCACTCATTGGAAGCATTGCAGGGAACTGGTCTGCTGGCTTCAGCACACTGGAAACTGCTGGCTATTTGTGCGGTTTTGCAGGAGGAAGGCTGGTCCAAGAGTGAGCAGAAGTCCAACAAGTAAATTCTGTCAGTGCTGAGCTTGCTTCCACCCCTCGCTGAAGCCTACAGATCCGGTTTCCAGGAATTCTTCTGATACGAGCTGCAGAATGAGTGCTGCTCTCAGGGAATCCCCCATCCCTCCACTTCCTCCAGATTGGCTGTCACTTCAGAGAGTGCCTCCCACACAGGTTCTACCTTCACCAGGAAGCCAGCACCAGTTTTCTTGCCTTGCTTAGTCACAGAGTGCACTATGTCATCTCACTACCCCCTCCCCTACTGAGTCTGATGAAAGAAGCATGAGGTCCTCACCTAACAACAGTGCTGTCCAGGCCTAATGACCGCAACTACCATCGGGTGACTGGAACTGCCAATGAATTCAGGTGATGTTTTGCCTAACGATCACATCACTTTAACAACAAAAATTCTAATCCCAGTTGTGGCCGTAAGTCGAGGCCTACCTATATTATGCAAAATCTTTTTTGCTCAATGCAGAAAGAGGGAAAGAGAAACTAGTTTGGTAATGCTTAAGTTTTAGCCCTAAATAATTCTAATACTATACTACTGACACAATGCTTCTTAAGTATCAATTATTTCTATAAATTGCATGACAAATATGAATTTCTGTATAGTACCTTAACAATATTCCACAGTGTTAGATGGCAGTCTGTTTCTTACCATATTGAAAAGAGAAAAACACTAGTAGTTCAGAATAAGAGTGAATCAATCCATCTAGCTAATGGGCAGAGTCCAGCAGTGTCTTGGAAACTCAAAATTCTAAGCAAACCCATCAGTAGTATCTCTCTTTCAAGTGGACTTTGAAAAGTAGAGGAAGCGAACTCCAGTTTGTCTTTGTTGTTTTCTGTTTCATTTCAAGAAGACTACAGCCCAGTCCAGTTTCTGCCAGGTAAGAAATGCATCCCAATCTGAGAAAAGATTGGAAAATCAAAAGAAATTAGTCAACTAGGAAATATGGACTTATAGGATATATTTGGTTAATTTATATAGATGAAATTAATTGATATTGATCTGAATTGTTTGTTTCTTTGTATCTTTAGTTGTGTTTTGTTCTATCTGTTCTATGTCTATGAGTGCCTGGAAGATAACTGTAAGTCTATAGAACCTGTGGCCTTTTCCTTTTTTCTTTCTCCCATTATCTTCAATCTCAGTTATCTTCTTAATCTTAAACTACATAATAAACAACCTTCTTGTGAAATTCCTGATCTCATTGTAATTTACCTTATCAAATATTCCAGTGAGGAAAAAAGAAGTTTCCACTTTCTTCCTCCAGGGTAGAATACATGGAAAAAAATGGCACCTGAGTAAAAGCAAAATTAGCAATTAGAAGGAGTTTCTTCAAATGTTGTGGGAAGTTGCAGCAAGGGTATTGTGAGGGAAGGCTTATAAACCCCATTTGAAGGAACCAAAGAAGCCAACCCATCACACTCTCTATGAGTTGTATAAATATTATACCATTACACCCTTGCTAAGGAAATCCATAAAAGTAAAAAAAAAAGTTGTGTACTATACTATACTATGTGTGATAGTACAATGTCTGCTTTCTGAACAAGTAGCACACAGTTTCTGACAAAGTGATTAAGATAGTGTTTCAGTACTGAAGGTAGTATAATTTGAAAAAATTATTTAGAACACATACAATTTTCTTTGAAAGGTTGGTTTAATACACATATAGCCAGAATCAAATGAATTCTCTATGACCAGATGAATTGGTCATGTGGCTGAGAGTGTTGGGATTTTTAGTTCAGTAATAACTGATCTTCTGAATTGATGTTGAACCCTGGTTCTTTAAAAGGATTCTGAATGGAATGGGCATAAAATTTGGTAGTGTTTCTTGTAACCAGGATTAGACTATGTCTTAAGAAAAGCAGT